ATTGCCCCCATTTGATAGAGGGGGAAGCAAATGTTCAGAGGGATGGTGTGAGGGATTTTGCACAAGCAGTAGTAGTAGGAGTGATGGAAGAGGATCAAAGTGACATCCCTACGTTGGGGTCCAGGTACAGTGGGTCTGACTGTGGCTGATCAGACCAGTATGAGCTTGGAATGCTCTACCACAGGTCAGGCACACATAGTCCATAAGGAGGATAGTTAAGCGGCCTGCTCCCTGGCCCCCGGTCCTCTAAAGCTCCTTCTGACCCTGCAGCATTCTGTGTCTCTTCTCATGTCAGAGTTCTTTTCTGCCATCTTAGTCAGTTGGTGCGCCAGGTCCCAACAGATCCAGAATGGGAAGAACTCCAGTCAACTGCACAGTCTTCATTGCTGAAGAGTACTGGCTGTTTTCCTTCCTACCCCAATGAAATTAAGTGGTCACAATTCAGAACAAAAGGGTCCCTTAGAAACTTCTGTGATTCATTCTTCCCAGAGCCACTGAGAGGCCTTCCTCTTTGGTCCCTGACCCCCAATCTTGGCTTTACTCTCTCTTCAACAGCAACCTTCTGCCCTAACTGCCCTATGTTGCATCTCTATGGGTGAGCCTTACGCCTCAACCTACTACTCCCTCCAAACCTTCTCAGACACTTTCTCCGGATACACCTTTGACAAGCTGACCATGGACGACAGCAGCTTATACTACAGATTTAATTCACAAGAAGCCAGTCAGGTCCTGCCCTTGAGGAGCTTACCCTCTAGGGAATGGAGGGGTGGAAAAGAAGATGTAGGACAAACATGGAGTGTCAAACATGCATGTCTAGATAGAGTGGATAGCTTTTACACATCCACAAGGTGTGTTTGGGCTAAAACGGAGTGGGGGCGGGGGTAGGAATAGACATATTTCTATGAGATATACTATTGCTTGAAATTCATCCTTTCTGGGGCCATACACAGAGATTTCTACTCATGGGGACCCAGAACTCATCAGGGAACACGTACATGTGCTCCCTAAAAACTGGCAAGCTCTTGTCAGAAGCTCTGTCTTTCCACTGGGGCTCAAGAAATAGTCTCAGTGCCCCAAAGTACACATGCTCCTGGCATTCTACTGTAGCTACTCAATCCATCAAACAGGTGTTATTAAGTAGCTACAAGTGAGGAGGATACAAGGACAAGAAAAGATGAAATAATTCCTACCTTACAGTTTATATTCTACTGGGAGGTGGAGTCAGTCAGTTGCAGCTACTTAATAACGCCTATTTGATGGATTGAGTAGCTACAGTAGAATGAAAAAACTGCCAACATTCAATGCTTTTGATTCTTCTACTCTGTCTTTTACACTCTCTGCAACCTTACTCCTCAGCAGAAACCACCATTTTCAAAGTCATCAATAATGGCCAGATTAATGAATCTGATGGCCTTTTTTTCCAATCCTCATTCTTCCTGACCTATTTGGTGGTTGGTTACTCTCTCTCCACCTGAATACTTTTTTGGATTTTCTAGACCCTGTGCTTTCTTGGTTCTGTATCCTGTCTCAGTGCTTCTGGCACTTAGCACAGTGTCTGGCACACAGTAGGTGCATAATAAATGTTTACTGATTGATGCATTGATCACTCCAGGTTCCTTTGCTAGATCATTAGAGGTGCACTCCAAGGCTCTGTCCTGGGCCTTTTCCTCCCCTCTCTCTACACTCTCCCTCAGTAACCTTATCACTTCACATAATTTTAAGGATTATGTTGATGATGTCCATAACTATAATTCCAGCTCTAGTCTCTGTGCTGAGCTCTAGTCACCACATAGCCAAGTCCTGGAGACATATCAAACTTAACAATGTCCCAAACCGAACATATTATTCTCCTTACCTCATAACTTACTCCCCTATTCCTGTTGAGGGTATCACCATCTTTCCAGGCACCCAGGTTCACTTTTACTCATTTTATGTGGTCATTCCATTACCAACTCTTGCTTCTATACCTCTATAACAACTCCGTATCTGTCTTCTTTCCAGGCACACATTTCCCACCGTAGTCCAGGCCCTCATCACCTCTTCCCTACTAATTAGCCTCCCTGCTTCAAGTCTCTCTCCTCTCTAATCTACCCTACATATAGAAGCCAAAACGATTTTCCTAAAATGCTGGTCCAACACGATACCCCACTTGACTCTTTAAACTTCAATGGCCCCCTATTATCTCTTCAGTTAAATACAAACTCCTCTGTCATTTAAATCCCTCCATAACCTGGTGTCATGAGTAGGTTTATAATAACTGAAGATTGAAAGGCTGAGCTAGGTGATTTATTTGCAAGGCATGTGGTTAGTTACAGAACAAATCGGGTCCAGGGCCCCTCAGCAGGCACAAGGATCCTGAATACAGATTTTGCACAGATGTTTATACCTTAAAAGAAAACAATAAACAGGATATAAAATAGGATGTAAGAGTAGGTAACCGGATTTCTTACTGGAGAGAGATTTAGGACTTTCCAAGTTGGGAGGGAGATAGAGAAAGCAAGCGGAATTCCTCAAAATCAGGTGATTTACAGGAAAACAATAAAATGGAGTTAGTGTTCACAAGATGGAGTCCGTCTGGTTCTCACACTGGCTCCAAGCTACCTTTCCAGTCATATGCATCTCTACTGTCCAATCAAAGTAATCTCTCTGTTCCTTACACATAACATTTCTTCTCTTTACACCTTTGGATAGCCTGTCCTTCAGCCAGGAATGCACTGTCTCCAAACCTCAGCCTCTCAGAATCCTAGTTTCTTTTAAAGCCCAGTTGGTGCTATCTTCTACCTGAGGCCTTTCCAGATTCCTCCAGATGCCAGAGCCTTCCTCCCCAAATCACCTTTTACCTAGACTGTAAATAGCCACAAGCATGAGTAGATGTACATATATAGCGATATCTATATGTGTATATGTTTTTCTCTTCCCCTCTGCATCCCAAGTCTCTAAGATTCTTGACATCAGGAACTATTTTCACTTTTGTCTTTTTATCCCCATAACCTAGCACATAATAAGTATTTAATAAATGTTTACTTGCTTGATTTCAGGAATGGAGATGACTGCAAACACATAGAGACCAAAGATGGAATGTTCTGTCTAAGAAATAGCAAACAGGCCAATTTGGCTGGAAAATCAACCACATAAGGGCTGAGGACTGTGTATCAGTCTGAAAGGATAGGCTGGGGTCAGGCTGGGATGGATTTTAAATCCCAAATCGGGGAGTTTGTTTTTAGAAGCAATAGAGAGCCACTAAAGCTTCTTCAGAAGGGAAAAAAGTCAGATCTCTGCTTCAGGAATACCGGTTTGGCAGCTGTGTGGAACATAGTTTAGAGAATGGGAGAGCGTAGATGCAGGGAGACAATCAGACAGCTATTGCAACAGTCCAGATGAGAGGGGAACTAGGGGTGCTAGCATGTAGGTGGAAAGGGCCCTGTGGAACAGATTTATGAAGGTAGACTCAGCAAGATTTAGCTAACAATTGGACATATGGGACCGGGGGCGAGGGATAGGGATAGCAGTTCTTTTGAAGCATTCCATAAACCACAAAGGTGGTTTAAGCTACTATAATTTTATGATCGTTATACTCTCCAACCAAGTAAAGTTTGTTAGGGCTGCTGAAATCAAAACCCAAAACTGAACAAAAACGAGGAACGTCAGAGACAGGACACAACCTGCTTCTGTGATAAAATCCCAGCCAAGATCAAACACAAACCAAGTAGCAACTCTAGTTCTGAATTTATGCCTTTGTGAGTTCACAGGCTGCATTCCAAGGTCAACACTGTTTTTTGGATTACATAGTGCTTATGTCCTTTCCAGTATGTCCCACCAATGAGGCAAGTGTAAGGTACTGGTCAGACTCTCTCCTATTTACCAAGGGGATACTTACATAAAAGATCATAGATACTTATAATATTAGGGCTGGGTGTTGTTTATACAACACCTAATCAACCTGTCAATAAACATTTTATTAAATGCCTACTATGTACCAGGCACTGCGCTAAGAGCTGGAGATACAAAAAGAGGCAAGATACAAAAAAGAGACCAAAGACAGTCCCTGTCCTCAGGGAGCTTAAAATCTAACGAGGGAGACAACACGCAAACAAATATATACAAAGGAAAATATATACAGGACAAATAGGAAATAATTAAAAGAGGGAAGGTGCTGGAATTATGAGAGGTTGGGGAAGGCTTCCTGTAAATGGTAGGATCTTAATTCAATTCAGTTCCCTAAACACTCAGCACCCAATATGTTTCAGAGACACTATGCTAAGTAGCTCTAGGGATACAAAAAGAGGTAAAAGTTAGTTCCTGCCCCCAAGGACTTATCTAGGGAGTTATATAAAGGTCATGGAACTTTAAAAAAAAAAATGGTTTCCTTTGTATTTTATTTTGTGCATTTAAAACCATTATTCTGAGAAGGGGGTTTCCAGGCTTCACTAGACTGTCAAAGGGGTCCTTGATAAAAACAAAGTTAACCCTCGATCTAATGGAACCTCTTCTTTTTTACAGGTAAGGAAACTGAGGCTACAGGCTTATTCAGTTCTGGGGCGATGGGCATGTGATTAAAAGCTGTTCTTCGGGGCCCTGGGGCGGAGTAGGAGACCCTGGTTGACAAGCGGTCCCTCCTGGGGGTCTACAAGAGACTAAAGGACCTCTGGGTACCTACTGCCCAGGCGCTGGTGAACCCCGGGCATCTTGGCACGACTGTCTCGGCTTCCCCTCCGCCGGCAACCGCGGCACCGCTACCCAAGGCGTCTGCCTAGAGGCAGCGGCCGGGGAGCCGGGCTGGTAGGAGGCGCGGTCGGGAGCCTCCCGGACAGGGCGCAGGCGCGGGGCCTCACGGCGTCCCGTCTCCACGGCAACGCGCCGCAGCGCGCTGCGCAGCCCAGTGACGCCACCCGCTGCCCTGGCAACGGCGTTCTGCGGCGGCGCGAGAAGTCCAAGGCGGCGGCTTTCGAGGCTGCTGCAGCCCGAGGAGAAGCAAGACGGCGACGACAAGCAGCAGCGAGATGACGAGCGGCGGCGGCGAGGAGGAGACGGACAGCGTGCCCACCTCCGACTCCCAGTTCGGGGAGAACGTGGAGCTGCCCACCATCCAGCTCTGCGGCCTGGTGGAGGAGCTCAGGTACCGACCCGCCGCGGGCCGCCTCCCGCCTCGAGGCCCACGCGCGCGGGGCCGGGGCGGTTCGAAAGGGGCCTCCTCGGGCCGTCGGGCTCCTCTTCTGCCCGGAGGACGCGGGTGTGGAGCCCGCTTGGGCCGTCATGCTCCTCTTCTGCCCAAAAAGAGGCGCCTGTGGGGCCTCTCTGCCCTTGAGGCTCCTACCCTGCCCACATGCACGGATGTCCCTGTGGACGCACAATTCGCTTCCAGCTCTGCCTTTGGACACAGAGCCTAGAATGTGTTCTCAGAGTACCTGGGTTCGAATTCTGACCATGGATAAGTCACTTCCGGTTTCTGAGCCCTGGTTTCCTGCACTAGAAAATGAGGAAGCTTGGACAGGACCAAGCGTCCATAACCTTGTGTATGGCCTTGGACCCCGCTGGGAGACTAGTGAAGGTTAAAGACCCCTTCTCAGAATCATGTTTTTGTGCATGGGAAGGGAAGAGAAGCAAATGGAATAAGCATTTATGTAGCACCTACTGTGTGCCAGGAGCTTTACAAATATTCTCTCTTTTGATCCACACAATAACTGGCCCAACAGGAGGTGCTCTTATTACCTCCATTTTACAGTTGAGGAAACTGAGGCAAACAGAGCTTAAGTAACTTGCCCAGGGTCAGTCACACAACCAGTAAGTATCTGAGGCTGGATTTGAACTCTGATCTCCCAGGCTACAGGCCCAGCATTCTATCCACTGTGCCACCAGCTGCCTAAATATATAAAATAAGTAGGATTGCAGAGGAAAACAATGATAATGCAGTAGTTAGCAAAACACATATATCTGAGTCTATGTTTATATCTATCACTATTGATCTATCCATCTGTCCGTCCATCTATCCATCTATCTATCCATCCACCCACCCATCTCTCTATCTACCCATCTGTCTATCCATCTACCAATCTACCCATCTATCTGTCTATCTATCTACCCCACCTATCTATCTATCTATCTATCTCCCTGTCTACCTACCTACCTACCTATCTATCCACCTCTGTCTGCCTACCCATCTATCTATATCTGTCCACCCATCTCTCTATCTACCTATTTATCTATCCATCTATCTACCTATCCACTCACCTATCTATCTATCCACTCCTTTGTCTGTCTGTCCATCTATCCATCCATCATCCGTCCATCCGTCCATCCATCCATCTATCCATCTATCCATCCATCCATCATCTATCCATCCATCTATCCATCTATCCATTCATCCATCCATCCATACATCCATCTATCTTCTATCTGTCCACAGCACAAGTTCACAGACCCCAGGTTCAGCTTCTTTGGACTTGGGCATCTCCAAGGCCTCTTTCCAACCCAGGGCTCTTTCTAGCCCTGGCTGAGCCACAGAGCATCAATGCTGGAAAGGAATCATCAGCCAGTCCAGCCCCTCTCATTTGTACAGATGAGGAAAGTTTGGGGGTAGAGCAGGGCCTCCCACCTTATCATCAAAATCAGGTGGAAGTTTGTGCTCTGCTTGATCCCAGAGGTGAAGAACAGGACAGAGTAGTGGGTACAGCGCAGGGGTTCCAGCCCAGGTCTCCATCCTCACCCGTGTTCTCGACCTCAGAAGGCCTAATAGGAGCGGTGGGTCGAAGTTGTGCAGGGGCAGATTTTGGCTCTATATCAGGAAACATTTTCAAACAGGTTTTTAACCAGTCCCAAAGTGTACTGTACTAGTGAGAGTGTTCCCTCTCACTAGCAATGCCAGGGATCTTGTAGAAGGGATTGTTGTCCTGATACGGGTTCTCTTAGCCCTCTGAGATTCTAGGACTTTGGACTAATGGAGGAACTGGTAAGAAATTGTGCCCTACTCACACTAGGTGGTTACTGTGTTGAAAGAATTCTGTTCCCATTTCCTCTCACCCTGATCTAGGCTCTCCTGTAATGAGCTCCTCTCCCAGGGAGCTTCTGGCCTGAAAAGATTAAGTCCAAAGACTTAGAAAATCCTTGGTGAAATACCTGCTCCGAACAAAAACTGTGTGCCCCAAGTGTACAAATATCCTGGCTCCCTTGGGAGCCCTATTTTCACCTCGGAACTTGGTCTGCATCCAGAGGTGTCTGGCTGCATACAGGCTTTGGAGAGGCTGCCCCTTCCCTCATTCTCCTAGGCTCCCCATTGTTGTGCCCAGTGCTCCCCTTCGTTATTCTGTAACCTCTCTGCCTTTGAAGTGCCTGCTATTCATGTCTACCACTCAATCAAAAGCCCTGAAGCTGTTGTCTACAGGCTCTCCCCCACCATGCCCCAGGCCACTCCCCTTCCTTCCTCAAGAAGTTCCATACTTGGCTCACTATTTTTCTCTCCTCCCCAATTACTGCTTTCATACTAGAGGGACTTCTAGATACATATTGTCTCTCCCTCAAAAACCCTAACTACTCAGTTCCTCGAACCACGGAGCTACTCCTCCGTCCTCCCTTAGCCACACACAGAAATGGTCACACCCTGGATCTTGCCGTCAGCCACAAATGTACCACCTCCACGTTGAGGAATTCCAACATCCCCTTATTCAGCCATAATCCATTGGCTCTTCATGTCTCCCTCTGCCCTCCCGTTCATAAGGCTATTCTTTATTTGCACCATGACCTCTAAGCCCTTGACCCGTGAGTTCTCTCTAGGCCATCTCCTCTGCACAGGCTCCTTGGTGAGCCATTTCACCTCTACACTGTCCTCCTCCCTTGAATCCTTAGCTCCCCATTTATGTCACTGATTAAGCCGTCCGAGCCTCAGCTTTGGGGCGCTCCCACCATTCATCACCTTGGTGCCTACACACACGCTACTGAATGAAGGTGGAGAAAATCACGCACCTGTTCTGACAGGGTCCACTATAGATTTATGTTACACAACCTTAATTGGGCCCTCACTGCTGCCAGGCAATCCTGCTCTGACTCCTTTACCAGCTCACTCTCCCACTCTCCACATGGCTCTTCCAAACCTTACCCTCCTCAAGCCTCCCATGGCTCCCCTCCCTCCTCTCCCTGTCTCATCTAAAATTGAGGCCATTTACTGTGAGCTCCCTCCTTTCTCCCCTCTTCTCCTCTCCTATCAGATGCCTTCTGCTACTCTCTCCTCCTTCCTGATGAAGCGGTCCTCCTCCTTACCAAGGCTCTACCTGTTTGCGACCCCATTCCAGGCCTTCTCCTCTGTCTTCCTCACTCTTTCACCTGTTTTCAGTCTCTCCCTCTCTACCGGCTCCTTCCCTACTGCCTACAAACATGCCCTTGCCTCCCCCATCCTGAGAAAGCCCTCACTTGATCCTTCTATCCCTGCTCGCGTCCTGTATCACTTTTCTCTTTTGTGGCTAAACTCCTTGAGAAAGCTGTTTACACTCAATACCTCCACCTTCTTATTGAGCAGGGGGTGATGTAGGCAGACCTGTACTTTAGTAATTTAGTGGCTGAAAGGAGGGTGGCATGGAGTGGGGAAGACACAAGGGGAGGACAGGCCCCCCAGCAGCTCCTGCAGTATTCTGGTGTGAGGTGATGAGGGCCTGCCCTGGGTCGGGGGGAGATGCCGCAGAGGTGAAATCAGCAGGCCCTGGCAACAGCTTGGATATGGGGGGGTGTCATCTCACTTTCTTATTAACTCCTTGCACCCGGCTTCTGACCTTATTCTGCTCTCTCTTTGTGGCCACATCCGGTGGCCTTCTCTCTACCCTCATTCTCCTCAACCTCTCTGCAGCTCTGATAGTGTGGATCACTCTCTTTTTTCCTCAACACTCTTCTTCTCTCCAGGTCTCTCCTGGTTCTCCTACCTCTCTGACCGCTCCTTCTCTGTCTCCTTTGCTGAATCCTCCTCCAGATCATCCCCTCTGAGCACTGGTGTCCTCAGGGTTCAGTCCTGGGCCCTCCTCTCCTCTCCCTCCAGACTACTTCACTTGGTGGTCGCACCGGCTCCCGTGGACGTAATGACTGTCTATGGTGATGACTGTCACGTCCCCCTATGCTGCCCCAGAGTCTCTGCTGGCGTCCAGTATCACACCTCCGACTGCCTTCCAGATATCTCGAACTGGATGTCCAGTCGACATCTGAAACTCAACATGTCCAAAAGTGAACTCACTGAACTCATTATGTTTCCCCCTAATACATACGCGCGCGTGTGTGCGCACACACACACACCCTCAAGCTGTTGCCAGAGCCTGCTGTTTTCACCTCTGCGGCATCTCCCCCTGACCCAGGGCAGGCCCTCATCACCTCACACCAGGAATACTGCAGGAGCTGCTGGGGTGCCTGTCCTCCCCTAGTCTCTTCCCCACTCCATGCCACCCTCCTTTCAGCCACGAAATCACTAAAGTACAGATCTGCCTACATCACCCCCTACTCAGTAAACTGCAATGCCTCCCTCTTGCCTTCAGAAGCAAATACAAAATTCTCTGTTTGGCCCTCAGAGCTCTTCTTTATAACCCATCCCCCCCCCCCCCCACATCTACCCAGTCTTCTTAGGCTTGCTTCCTGACATACTCTTCCATCTAGTAACTCTGGCCTCCTGGGTATTCCATGAACAAGACCCTCCATCTCTGAGCTTGGGGCATTCTCTCTGGTTGTCCCCCTTCCCTATAAGGGTCTCCCTCCTGTGCTCTAACTACTGCCTTCCTTTAAGTCCCAGCTAAAACCCTATCTTTTACCAGAAGCCTTCCCCAGCCCCTCTTCCTTCTAGTGCCTTCCCTCTGTTGGCCATTTCCTACTTATCCTGCCTATTGCTTGTTTGTACATGTGTTTCCTTATTGTCTCTCCATTAGATCGTGAGCTCCTTGAGGGCAGGAAATTGTCTTCTGCCTCTTTTTGTATCCCCGGCGCTTAGCACAGTGCCTGGCACACAGGAGGTGCTTAATAAATGTTAATAGATTGATTGAGGTAGGATACCTCCCACTCCAGGTGGGAGAAGAGGCTTCAGCCAGAAGCCTGCACCATGGAGGCTGAGATAGGACCCTTTATTCCTTCTCCTTTAATGTGTAAAGTTTGCCAGAG